GGTATTATAAAGAGGTAAGGTTTGTGAGTTTGTGACGTTGTAGGGGGTGATCTCTGGATCTAAATAACCGATTTAGGTGAAATTTGGTAAGAAGATAGTTTGAAACCCTAGGAAGGGCACAGGACACTTTTTTCCGGAAACCATCACTTAAGGGGGTGAAAGTGGGGATGACAATTTGTATGGGGAACCAACCTAGGGATGAACCCGAGCGAAGCGGAGTGAGTCGAGAGTTAGTATAATATAAAAATAAAACCCAACTGCATAAAAGCTAAAAAGATAAAACTGCAGTCGAAGACATATGTACAATGTACATATATATTATGTACCTAGGCGAACATGAAACGTGTATGTCTCCGACTGCATAATACTGTATTCCTTCGTGAACTTGTTTTCATCTCTTTCGTTACCTTTTATGCAGTCGGGTTTTTTATTTTTATAATTTAGTTTTAATTTAAAAGTTTTTAAATTTTCTAAATTCTAAGTTGAAATATTTTAATGAAAATTACCTACCAAAACAAAAAGATTTTATTCCGTGCCTTTACTTACAGCTTATAAAAAATTAAATAAATTATAAAATTTCTTTGAAACCAATAGGTACGTACAGAAGAGAAAACATTATTGATGAAATAGATCTATATATTTTTTTAAATTAAATAATTTTATACAACAAAACTAGCATTGCCCGCGGCTCCGCCCACGTTCAAACGACTGAAAACCAAATTCTTAGGTTTTACATAATTAAGTATAGTCTTACATTGCAGTGTTTGTATTTTTTCTCAGAAATAAGATATTTCCCCGCGTTAAAAAGTATCCTATATGTCGACCCGAATAACCAGCTATCACCATACCAAATTTTATAAAAAGTTTTTTTGTGACGCGGTAACAGACAGACAGACAGACAGACAAAAAATCTAAAAATTAAAGATTCGGCCACTGTATAATAATATCTATTTCAATAAGATTTTCCAAAAAATATTTAATTTACAGATTCGACTCAAATAGAATTTTATTATATGTATAGATAAATTCAGCATGGAAGATCTGTTCTGACAATGACAGATCAAATTAATGCATAGGCAAAGTTTGAGGAAGATGAAAGTATTTAACATGAAAATTGAATAATCTCACGTAAGCAACGACTAGAAATAATCTAATTAAATATTTATTATTATCTAGTTCATTACAATAAATCAAATGGAATATAATTATACATAAAAAATAATTAAAAAAACACCAACGCAATAACTTATTTTTGGAAGCCATTTCAATGAGCCTAAACACGATATCTCTGCAGTAATTTAGTACAGAGTTGACTGTGTTGCAGATTCCAGGTAACGCTTTGAGTTCAATCGTTGTAATGTCATTGAAGTAACAGGATACAAGGTTTCGAATGTATTAGATCTGTGGAAGTTGTTCAAATTCTTTTACCGTCTAGAAAAGAGCTGATAGCTATCAAACGGCTGAACGGATGTTCTTGATTTCTAACAGAAAACACTCTCGATTAAGTCACCTATCAAACAAAAAAAACTAAATGAAAATCGGTACATCAGTTTGGGGGCAACAATGCCACAGACGTTAAATTTATAACACCTCTCTTTTGCGTCGGGGGTTAAAAATTAACAAATTAATTAAAACATCCTTAAATTTTTTTTACACTAAAAAGGAACTTTAAAACGAAAAATACACGATTTTAGAAGTTTTCAAAGGTGAAAAAGGCGAAGAGCACTCAAAGCCTACGGATTGGAGGCTAACAGCTCAATTATAGATCGCATCGAGTTAGCTGCCTACATCTAGATTTGATTCGTTCTAACTAGACATCGCAATTCGTTTACCGCATGCGATGCCACTATTGAAACCCGTTCTGTAATGGCCTCGTCTCTATACCCATTATTTAGTGAAATATACTTTTAAAGAACGAATCTTTAAAATAATTATATAGTATAAAATCCTATTACAATGAAGCTTTAGCTGCGAAGTTTAAAAGATTAAATTCCAAACTAATTCAATAAGTTAGATAAATAAAGCTTATCTTCAAGAGAATAAATGACCATGAAAATTTTCATACAAGATATACGAAGAGAGAAAAATATGTAGACAAAACATAATATTAACAGAATCAACATCTGTATAGCGAATTAGTAAGAAAATAAAATTTTATGATTTCGATATAAAATGTAATTTCATATTTGCGGTCATTGTAGAAGTGCAGGAGCAGGTTAATTTGGCCAATATCGCAGTACGACGTGCGGGGCGCCCGCACGGAAAATTGGCCTTCTTCACTATTTGATTACGTTCCAAGATCCCTTGTGAGCTCTCACTAAAAATTACACATATTCGCCAGAAACGTGGTTTTACCTTTAAAATTGATCTTGATTATTATTTATTTTTTCTTCAGTTGTATGCACTTACATATAATCAAACTATACATATAATAAAATTGTGAGTCAAATCTGTACATTGAACATTTTTTGGAAAATCTTATTAAAATAGTCATTATTATCGATACAGATACCGAATCTATAGTTTTTAGAATTTTTGTCTGTCTGTTTGTCTGGGAACGTATCACGAGAAAACCACTGTACAGATTTTGATGGGATGATGATAGCTGGTTATCCGGGTCAATTTATATGATACTTTTTATACGGGAAAATATTTCATCTTTAAGAAATCTATACTAAACGTTAAAACGTAACTAGGGACGAACCGGAGCGGAGTGAGGGTGAGTCGCTAGTTTCTATATAAAATAGATAGTATCTCTAAAACATATCTTAAAAAAAGATAGATAACTTTGCATTTTTTTAACAAATTTACATTGATCACAATAAATAATTAATGTACGGAAGACGGAAAGAACTACGTTATAATTCAATACATATGTAGTTTTCACCATGAAACCTTAAAAAATCTAATAGAATAAAAAAATTGTATTATAAGTATTAAAAATAACAATCACTATACTCTCAGTTTCCTAGTTGCAAGTGAAAATCGATTAAAACTAAATCCAACCTGTTCGTTTATTATGTGGATTTATTTTGTTTATTTTGTTTGCATATCCACAAAATAAACGAAATGTCAAAAAATGGAAAAAAATGTCTAAACAGACATGTAGACATTTTTTGCTGTCTTTTAAAGGCGAATATCAATTTTATTAGTACAAACTTTATACCCGTGTCAGGATCGAACTTGCGACCATTCGCAGAGTAAACAACAGATGTCAGACATGCTTGTTTGCTTTATTTAAAACAAAATCTTAATTGAATTAAACTACTTCAAGAACATAACCATTTTCTCTAGTATTCAAATTCCTTTGTAGCTCATTTGTGTAAACAATTAGTTATGAGAAGTTCAGTCTTCACATTTGTACGCAACATTACAATGCATTGTCTTCGAAACTTCACTCCGACTTGTTCTAAGTTATTCCTCGCCCGCCGTGAGTTATTGTTACGTAAAATTTACAAATCTAGGATGTATTTCATTCGTTTTCTACTCTTCTGGCCTAATGCCAGACTTTTTGATTGGACGGACATGGCTCTTTGAAGTAGTACAGTAGCTCCGTATCGTCGTTCTTAAAAATATTTTTGATCATGAGATTCTCTTAGCCTTTTAAATTTTCGGACATTTCATTACACATACATAGTAAAGTTATATTTTGTTATTCTTGAGAAAAATCAAAACAAAATTAAAAAGCTTTACACACATTAAATAAAGTTTAACTTCAAAATTGATCATTACAATTATTCTATATAAATAATTGAATTTTTTTGTCAAATTTAGCATAACTTGATAAATCGTACGAATGTATCGCAAAAAAATATTATCAATGAAGAAATTAGCGAGGGTGAGTCAGGTTCAGGATAAGGTGATTTTCGATTTCAGGCCAAAAGTACTTGAGCACCGTCGTCACCTGTCAACTCATCGACCCTCTAACCTCGTTAGAATTTAATTTGCGAGCCCCGTGGATAAAGTGTAATTTAATAAGTGATTTACTATGAGCACCCGAAACTTATTTGGAAAATTTACCTTCAGATTCCGTTTAAACCTATTTGCGCTGCTGTGCTATTACGCGCTCTCAAAGATACCGACAGGTGATTTGATTCAGTAGGACGGATGATATTTAAACGTGGCTATTTTATAATATTTTTCTTATTTTTCAAGCTTTTCTTCAACGCTCGCTTATATTTTAAGTTCTGTATAGGAGCTAAAGTAAACAACGGCTCTGTGTCTTTCTTGTTAAAAAAATAAATAAACCCCGCGTAACAGTGAAAAACCCAACAAAAAACAAGTGAAAGTGAAAAATAAAGCATTTTAAATAAAAGTAGATATGTGTTGACTTATAAAAACTATGATAAAGTGCAAAAGTGAAAACAAAACATTACCAACTTATTGTGCGCATAAATCTGACTATAAAACCAAAAACATCTAAAATTATACTAGAAATACAAATATCGAGGGTGAAACAGTGTGTAACAATAACAATAACATTGTGAAAAACAGTAAAAAATTAATTGTGATCAATATAACCTAAAAATTGCTAATACGCATAATCATTATTACGTTATATGTAATTTTTCTGGATAGAGCGACATCTATTATAAATCGGAAGAACTGTTTAGCTTTCATAGATACTAAGACATCGATCTACAATCACAGTACCACAACATTTCGCTAGAGGGCAGGAAACATAAAAGATAAATAAAAAATGGAACAAATCACAGAAATGTTTAAAGCTTTACAAACCAAGTTCGATGAACAAGCAAGGGAGCTAAAAGAAATGAAAGAGAGTATTTCCAAATAGTATAAATAAAAATATAGATGAAAAATTTATCATACTTGAAACTAGACAACAGCAGTTAGAAAAAATTACAGAAGAACAAGCGCAAAAAATTCAGAAATTTGAAAAAATACTAAGAAAGAAAAATCTGATATTTTTCGGAGTAGAAGAAACAGAAAATAACTACTTTACCTTACAAAATAAAATTTTAGATTTGATAAATAATAATATGAAAGTAGATTGCCAAAAGGGAGATATTGAGTATGTTTCACGCATGGGGAAAAAATCAGATAAGACAAGACCGATAATTGTTACTTTGACTACGATGGGCAAAAAAATAGAATTACTCAAAAATAAGAAAATGCTGCAAAATTCCGGTACCTATTACATTAAAGAAGACTTTCCCCCGGAAGTTCTTGAGGAGAGAAAGAAACTAAATATCCAGCTACAACGAGAAAGAGAACAAGGAAAAAAGGCATATATAAAATACAACAAACTAGTAATTCTACCAGAAAAAGTAAACTCTCAACAAGAACGTCAAAAAAGAATTTTATCGCAGTCTCCGGAAACAGCGACCGTTATTGAGAAAGAACACAAAAATACTTCTAAAAATCCAACCAAGAAAAATAAAATGGATCTATATTTAGTTAAAAATAAACCCGTAAATACAGAAATTAAGTCCCCATCGCATCAGCTATTAACCAAGAAATGACATAAAGAAGCGACCTCTCTATGTCCCCCACCACGGCCGGTCACCGCGGGGGTCACAGACCAAAACCCTCCATTCCAGCCTATATATATATGTACATACAATGCTCGGTCATTACTATCAGATGAAAGGCTACTAGAGTTCAAGCAATCAGTATCAACTATTAAATATGACATCATTGGTCTATCAGAAATCAGACGTACAGGTTATAATATAGAAGAAAGCGAAGACCATATATTCTGCTACTTTGGTGAGACTAAAGGACAATATGGGATAGGTTTCCTCATAAGAAAGTACCTAAAAAACAGCATAGAGAGTTTTACTGCAATCAACGAACGAATCTGCATACTACACTTGAATTTTCAAAATACAAACCTATCTATCATCCAGGTTCATGCGCCCACCTGTAACGCAACTGAATTGGAAATAAAAGAATTCTATGATCAAATACAGGGATCTCTTAAGCAATGCAGTAGAAACCTTATAGTCATGGGTGACTTTAATGCCAGAGTAGGTCAAAAAATGAAAGGCGAAGACAGAATATTAGGAAACTCATGCTTCGGAAAAAGAGACAAGAGAGGTGAAGCTCTTCTTCAGTTCTGCTGGGAAAATAATTTTTTCGTTATCAATAGCCTATTCAAAAAGAAAAGCAAGAACATTTGGACATGGCTTTCGCCAAATAAAAATAAAAGCCAGATAGATTACATACTGTCAAACCTAAAAAATAAAATTACTAATATTGAAGTGATAAGCAATCTATCGTTCCCGAGCGACCACCGATTAGTGAGGAGTACTCTATTGTTAACCAACACCAAAAAATCTAGAGCCACATATAAAAGTAACAAATTTTCACTAAAATAAATAAATTCACTAAAAGAAATACATTGAAGCTTTAAAGTTGAATACTTCAAACATAAAACTGGAAGAAAATGATGATGTAGAGACGTACTATGAAAAAATTAAGCAAGCAATCGATAAAAGTTTAAAATCCATACGTAATAACAACACAAATACAAAACGACACTTCATCATTTCAGACAGAACTAAAAACCTCATAAAAAGAAGAAACGATTTAATAAATAAAAAACAATTAACATTAGAAGAGAAAAAGGAAAAATGCTATTTATATAAAAATATTCACAAAACTATCAGAAAAGAATATCAAGACTACAGACTAACAACAATTGAAAAATATCTGAAGAAATCAAGAAGTGTGAAAAAAAGTTTGAAAGAATTAACAATATCTAAAAATTGGATTTCTAGCTTGAAAAAGAACTCTACCGGTAACAAGGCAATATTCTCTAGATCGGGAATAATAAAAGCTGCCACTGAATTTTATAAAGATCTCTATGCATGTAAAACACAGTTGAGTAAAGAGACTCTACCTCTACAGAAAAATGATACTACAATACAAAGATTCTCTACTCAAGAAATTTTTACTAAGATAAAATCTTTAAAGAAAGAAAAAAGCAGCGGTACAGACGGGATATCAAACGAAGCCATTTCTACGGGAAAAACTCTTCTAGTACAACCTTTAACCACCCTGTTCAATAAAATACTAGACGACAGAAAAGTTCCGACTGAATGGGCGAAATCGGATATAGTGCTTCTCTACAAGAAAGGAAACCCTACAGACATAAGCAATTATCGACCAATCAGCTTACAATCAAATCTCTACAAGCTGTTTGCTTCATGCCTTGAAAAACGCCTTGCGATGTACACTGAAGAACACCAGCCAGTGGAGCAAGCAGGATTTAGAAGTACGTATTCAACTATAGACCACATCCACTCATTGGAACTTATTATAGAGAAATACGAAGAAATGAAACGCCCGCTCTACCTAGCGTTCATCGACTACGCTAAAGCATTCGACTCTATATCACATATCAGTATGTGGAGAGCCTTACAGGAATGTGATGTGCCATCAGAAACTATAGAACTCATACAAGACATATATAAGAAAAGCACAAGTAGAGTAATATTAGACAAAACAGGCACGGAAATCGATGTATGTAGAGGCGTTCGTCAAGGTGACCCACTCTCTCCCAGAATTTTTATTACCGTTCTACAAAATATCATGAAGACACTAAAGTGGAAAAACAAAGGTATAGACATTAACGGTCAATTTCTAAGTAATCTTAGATTCGCCGATGATATCATACTCTTTGCAGAAAATTCTTCGCAATTAGAGTCAATGATAAATGAAATTAATTATGTCAGCAATGAAATTGGTCTAGAACTAAACACAACAAAAACTAAAATTATGACAAACAGTATAAAGACACCAATACACATTAACAGTGTCTCACTAGAATATGTCCAAGAGTACATATATCTAGGCAAAGAAGTGTCATTTAAAAAGTCGAGACACCAAGATGAATTAATGAGACGCGTAAATATGGCCTGGAATAAATTTTGGAGCCTGAAAGAAATTCTGAAATCAAATATCTCAATGAAGCTGAAAAAAATTGTGTTGGACTCTTGTATCTTACCTTCTTTTACCTACGCATCCCAAACATGGATTTTCAACAAACAAACCAGAAACAAAATATTAACAACCCAAAGAGCCATGGAACGGAGCATTCTGAATCTTAAACTGAGACACAAAAAGAGAAGCACGGATATAAGAAAAACAACGAAGTTGATTGACGCTCTAGAACACTGCAAAAAACTGAAATGGAAGTGGGCTGGCCATATTGCACGTATGAACGATGATAGGTGGGCCAAAAAGATAACTTCATGGAAGGGACCTATAGGCAAAAGAACCAGAGGTAAACCGGCGGAGCGATGGCTCGATGAAATTTTGAGAGCAGCAGGAAAAGAGTGGTTAGACAAAGCCAACGACAGAACTATGTGGAGAAAAATGGAGGAGGCCTTTACTCTATGGAGAGGTCCTTAATAAATTCAAAAAAAAAATATATATATATTAACAATAATAAATAAAAAAAAATATTGTTAAAATAGAAGTAAATTAAATGTAGTTAAGTTTTTGTTTATTGTGCAGGCTATTTAAAAAGATTTTATTTCTTTTTTTGTTTTTTTATAAAATTGTTTTATACTAAGTGCATGCTCTATAAAAATACTATTAATGTAATTTTATTAAGGAAATAAAAAGGCTAAATTATTATTATTATTATAGGAGCTAAAGGTCACAAAACAGAAAGCTCAAAATGTATTCCGTTTTTATTCGACATTTTTTTCAAAATTTAGTTATAAATAGTAATCATTTAGTTAATGAAAATACTTTTTTTTTAAACTAAAAAGATACAAATTCAAAGTCAATTTAAAAGTATTGCTTATACTCTTAATACAATTTTTTTGAAATTTATATTTATTTAGATTTTAGACCATCTTTGAAGTAAAAACTATTAATAAAAAAGAAAAACAAAACCAAAAATGCCTTCTCCTTATTTAAAACTGGTCTAAAAATACATCTTTACTAGATGTATGTACTATTATGGTATGTATCGTTTCTAACGCTTAATTTATAATGTGGTACTTACCTATAGATGATATTATTTACACTAAGTTTATAAAGTAAGAAAATAAGTTATTAACTAAAAAGAACGCGTTTTGCTTCTTAACGTCCTTCTGAAAAAGTATAAATTTAAATAAGCTGAACATCTGTTATGAATAATAATTGCTAACAGTAATTATGTAATTTTGTGTTAAAAAGCACATGATATTGAGTTATTTTCTAAAAAAAAAATTATGACCTTGGTGATAAATTATATGGATCCGACATTTATATAAATGTACATATATAGAAACGCGCATACAAAAACAGCCAAACAGACATACAGGCAAACAGACAAAGAGACAAATAGACAATTTTTTTAATAACTATTGTTTTGGGTTCTATGTTGTGTACATAATACGTTACAAATAAACGAAAACATCTATCCCACGGGAACCGTACATTTTTTCGGGATAAAAAGTAACCTATTCGTTATTCTGATGTATGACCTATACTATTGTAAAGTTTCATTAAAATCCAATCAGTAGTTTTTGTGTACTAAGCTGTATAAGTTATTAAAGTTTTTTAACTATCCCACGGGAACTATTTAATTTTCCGGGATAAAAAGTATCTAAGATGTTGCCCGGGGATATAATACCTTATATCCACCAATCAAATAACCACCATACTAAATTTCATTTAAATCGGTCCAATAGATTCGGAGATTAGCCCGTACAAACAGACAAACAGACAGAGAAACAAAAAAATTGAAAAAACTGGATTTGTTCTATTTGTATTCTTACATCCCCCTGACTCGGTTTTTAGTATTTTTTTGCTATGTACAGACATTCGACCTCTACTGTTTTATTATAGTATAGAAGATAGTATAGCCTCAAAAGATTTTTATGTGCAAACTTTTAATATATGTATATAAAATTTTATTAGTCTCCTACATATTAAACTAAATGAAAAAGAAAACCACAATTGTTTGAACAAAATAATAAAATCAACGCTCAAATTGCAATGTTCACAATGAAATTTTTCCAAAGCTATTTGGACAAGCTCATTATTTTTAATTGTATAGCCAACAAGAGACAACCTTTTTACCTTAGCCTTCTTAATTTGTATTGTCAGCTACTAAATTACCAGAGTCGTCGGACACTTAAAACCCATTGTTATTTTATTTCTTTTAAGGTACCTACTTATCTGTTCTTGAAGAAAAGTTTTTAAGGAAAATGGTTATAGCTATAAGAGAGTCTAAAGTTTCAATTTTTATACAAGCATACAGAATGTTTTTTATACGTTCATTAGACCAGGTGTTTTTTTGTTTATTTGGACGTTTTTTTATTTATGCTCATCTATTGAAAATGATGAAGTTTAGCATTTTATTCGCTGACTGTACATTTTTTTCAAAATCTGTGAATGCAGTTTAGAATATCTCAAAGAGTTATGGATTTTTGAGATATTCTGAACTGCATTCACAGATTTTCTCCTAGAGATGTTTTCCTGTAACTATAACAGTTAAGGTACCTGCCCTTACTGT